CCTGTGGTCAGACAGCAGCTGCAAGGAAAATACGGTGAGGATGACCTGGCGAAAAGAGTCGTGTTCCTCGAGGCAGAGAGATAAGTATGAAGTCTGACTAAAAAGGAAGACAGCAGATCTTATCCTCGTCTGCATTTGGCATGTAATCAGTGTGTTAGCAAAGCAAACTGACACGTTCTCTTTTTAGAGGTCCCCACTTTGTCCAGCATGAAATCTTGTTATTTACTGCAGATTCTCCCGTTTAAATGAATTAAAGAATCAGAGACATTTGAGAATCCATATTTTTAGATAGTTTACCTTTTAAAATGTCTTAAAAGAAAAAAAGTTCACGATGATTTTTGACTCTGCTCCAGTGTATGTATGTTTCACTTTATAAGTGTTTTTTTTAATGTTTTTGTTTTCATTTGTTTTATTACACGTTATAATTAAATAAAGCTGTCCTTTAGTTCTCAAGCTTCACCATGTTTTTTTTTTTGAACAAACAGCCTTTTTTAACAATGGACTGTGTTACTTCAGCACAGCAGACACTCTTTACTCTACATGCTGGTGTTTGGTTCTTATGATCGTAGCCTAAACATTAATAACAAACACAAATCTTTTACTGTAAACCGACCTGGTGATTCCCTAGAAGACAGTCCTCTTTCTCCAAGTCAAACTCCAAAATGCTTCTTTAGCAAGGAGCACAGACTCCTGCTCTGTGAGAGAGTCCTTTAAGGTCCAGTGTACGACTGCAGAGAGGAGATCCATCTGTCTATAGATAATTGTGCCATTTAACTCTGACACTGCTCCCACAAGCCACTCACACATCTCTACCCCGCAGATGAGCCTGAACTACACCCCACTACCACAATGTGGTAACGGTAAGGAGTTGTGGAGTGAAGCGGTTGGGCTGTGTCCCATGTACAGAGGCTATATTCCTCAGAGCATGCGACCCGGGTTAAAGTCTGATCTGCAGCTCCTTTCCTGCTCCATTCCCCACTTTCTCTCCTGATTTCCTACTCTACCCATCATTCTATATACCGCCAAAAAAAACAAAAAAAACAATACATATATATATATAGAAGAATGCGGTCTGTAGTTTGAAGCACATGCTCTGAAAAATCTTTGAGTCTAACTTGAAACCAGTTTGAATTAATTCCAACACTTTCTAATTTGAGTCAAGTGAGTAATGAATAAAGGGAATGAATAAATTATTTATCTATCTATCTAATTGTTGCCAAAAACTTTCTGAACATGTTTTAGATTTTGCCCGTGTTACTTCAAGATGAACATTTCAAGTTGTGTATGAGCAACTGTTGCACAAGAAACTGTTTAGCCTATAAAACTAAATCATTATGATTATGTGCTCAATGATTATGACCAACTTTTTATATAAACCAAAAATTAATAGAATTTTAAAGCAGTGGGAAGCCAGAGAAAGGTCATGAGTATGAGTGAAATACTGTGATTTCTTTGTTTTGGTTAAATAAAGTTGTCATCATCGTCATCATCTGTATCGACAGACTCAAGAGCCGTATTAACAAGTTTTTAAAAAAACACGAGTACTACGCTTGATGTTAAGAAGAGATCATGATCTGTGGAGAATATCCAAATAAAACAGCTGGTAAGCCTTGATTTCTATCCAATCCACCATTTTATTTAGTTTTCCACAGCATCAATAGAGTACATTCATTACTTGTTTCAACGTCCCCAGACCCACATTAATACACTGTATCCATAGTTCAAAGAAAAACAATGAAGAGAAAAGCATTAAATTAAAGCAGAACAAATGAAGCACGTAAAGTGAGAGTCACAGGATGGAACCTGTCAGACAGTTCAGAATATCGAACCCCGATATGGCTACAAGTATTGCTGCACCTTTTTATCTCCTGCCGTGTTTTTATGACATCAAACATAAGCAACAACGATATATAATGGCAAATATCAACATGTAAAACGTCCTGTTGTCATGACAGTTAAAACAAACACATAACCCCGGTGCTACACTGATAAAAACCAATCATATAAAACCCCTTTTTTTTGTATGAAACACTCACATCCACCAGGAGCTCACTAGCGGACACACAGGTCACACACTGAAGGCTGCTGTAAGGAAGAACCGCTTTAATGAAGCCAAACATACCAAGGTCTCCGATAGGTAACAGGACACCTTTTATCCCTGGGTTTAAGCAGCTACATCTTTTTTTTTTTGCTCAGTTTCTACTTGTAATGACTTTAGAAGAGGCCTCAAATCCAGATACATTCATTAAGGGAAGGGTTTCCACATTTTGATTGAGTGGATGTTGTTGGAATCAGGAGATGTGAGTTTGTGTATTTTATAGAATCAAGGCAGCATGTCTATGTGAGACTTTTCAGAGTTATTCAAGTCAAAGCTTGGACAAAGAGATGTTCTGATGTTTTCCTTCTACATACTGATTACGATAACTTGAGTATCAGCCAAGAAGAGTACTCGTACCCGATGACAGAGCTGTATATTACTGACCCTGTGTGGATGTAATACGGTTACCATTGTTCTGAATGGACTACCTTTCTTCTGAATGTTCCCCTACTTTGATTATTTTTACTTTGTTTTAAAGGAGGCGTTCACTCATCCAACTATCTCATAAAAAAAGGTGTGTAGGACATCCACTTATCACATTGAAAATAAAAACATCCCACACACTACTCTTGCTCGGCAGCAATAATTTATTAGAAAACAAATCACAGTGTGTCAGTCCCTCTGAACCTTTCAGAGGTGTGTCTGTTCAGAGGGACTGACACACTGTGATTTGTTTTCTAATAAATTATTGCTGCCGAGCAAGAGTAGTGTGTGGGATGTTTTTATTTTCAATGGGATTATTTTAACTTGTAAAGAAAATGTACCCTCAAAGTGTGTGATGGTGAAAACAAGATTCCTGCACCACACACTCTGCTTGCGTCACTGTTTTATGTTTGATGTATAATTGACCTGAAATCAGTTCGTCTTTCTTTGCTGTTCTTAAACATTAGTGCCAGTAAAAGTCATACAAATATAAATAATATAATGATTTATAACACTTTTGTGCAGGCTGCTGTTTGGGAAAAGACAAACAAACACCCCAGTGTATTGGGGGCTAATGAATGAAGGATTCATTCCAAACCAGGAGCAACATTTAAGGCTGTTTCTAAAGCACTTCCAATACGGGTATGATTATCAGAAAACTTGACATGTTTCCATACATTATGTTTTAGTCTATGGGTTTGTATAATGACTGCCATGGGCTTCGATGTTTATATGTAAAAACAGTGAACAGTGTAGATAGTCCTGCTGTGTCTGGATGTCACAGCTCTACAATCAGTAAACAGAGCATTTGATGTTGTCGATACAAAGTACAGTAGCAGTAAACGAATGGCTCTTTGTTTCTTAACAGGCTGGTTTTTACATCGACTCTTACCATCTATGTTGCTTCTCAGTGAGCGAGGATCTGCCTCACTCTTGTCTTATATCATCCATTAGTTTAGTTATAGGTTATCTGATCGGGTCAATAAGAGACCCAAACTCGTGGAAATGGTTTAATATATCCTGCAAAATAAAGAGTAACAACATTTTTTTGGGTTAACATGAAATGATTAAACACAGTGAAAAATAGACTTTCTGCCTGAAAGACAGTTAATGAACGATTATGATAAGAGATGACAGATTTAAAACATGGCGCGTATTTGCTGTGCAGCTATTTAGATTAAAAATTAAAAAAACGGTATATAAACAACCATCGCTCTTTTTCTCTCCACACATACATGCTGAAATAACAAAAAAAAAAGTAACATTCTGCTTCTAGAAAACATCCAGATAGAAGTAGCACTTAATCTGTGATTCAGCAAATCAAACATACATTATGATACAAAGATAAAAAGATCACTTCTGTCTCTCCAAGCGTCCTTTAGCTTTTTACGCTTCTTTCAGTGAGAGTGCTGAAAAGATGTGAAACGACTCAATCTGTGACAAGAACGCTCATACAAACCAAAAGGCCTCTGGGGTATACGATACGATCACGTGCCTTCAGCCCTGTGTTCAATCTGACACCTTCAAGCCCTGGCTATGAAGAGACAAAGCAGGAACTGAGTCCCCTGCACGGCAGCATGAAATGAAAACACACATAAACAAAGTACCAAAAAAAGAAGTATCTACAAAGATCATGTGAAATGGAAGCTTTTGAAAATGTTTCCTTTGGTTTTTTTCCTAAGATATTGGAGGGCAATGTTTGGCTTTTGTAACTTAAAATGTAGTCTTTTATAAAAAACTACAGATTTTTAACCTTTTAAAATGGTACTTAATGTGAACCATGTTTCCTCCGTTAATTACAACACAATTTGAACGTGTTCTCAGAAGCAAGTCAGGCAAATGTTAGAGACATAAAAGATACAAGTCCCTTGACGAGGGGGCACTGTTCCAGTTTTTACTCTGTATGTACTTAAAAGAAGAAAATCCCATAATCCCTAGATTATTCCACACTCAAACGCATAAACGCTTCTCAAAATGATACGTAGAAAACACCTGCTTTGCTTCAAAAGGCGATTTTGTTCTTTAAGGGAAACGAGGAAGAGTGAAAGCCAGTCCAAAAATAAGGCCAGATGAATTGCATAGAACTTCAGTAATGCACTGATGCATCAAAAGGCTGTGCTCCTTTCCTCTGTCAACTTTGGCAACTCTGCAGAGTTCCCTCAGAAACCACCAGAACTCCCCACACCAATCCGTCTCCACTGCTTGTTTTGTCTCTTTGGCAGGAGACACTTAAAAAAAAACAAAAAAACCAGCACTTTAATTTGGACTGCAAACACAAACAACACAGTGTTCCAGCTGAGGGCCGCAGACACGTCTCATTCAAATGAAGGATTTCAAAGTAAAGCAAAGGACGGGAGTGTTATTTTGAGATTATTATAGAGAGCACAATATGTACTATTTTGAACTCCTTTATAAAAAAAGGACAATTAAGGTAAGAATTTGTACAAAAAACTTCTCAGCCGAGTTGAAAATGCTTCTGTTTTTTTTCTCTCCCTCCCTTTAAATAATGTGAAGCTCTGGACGAGGATCCAGCGAGGCAGCAGTGAGGAAGAGAGAACAACTCGGACCTTATTTGCACCCTTTCCTCTAGTGAAGCAAAGAAAGCACCCCCACCTTTTTTTATTAAACAACAGACATAGTATAAAAGCACCAGTTCTGGGCCTGCGTCAGCGAGCACAACCACCAGAACTTTTAACCAGTCAAACCCACATTTAGGTCGTTTCACCTCTCTATGAAGACAGAGCTCTCTACATGTTAGGCCCTAGTGACATCGACGGGGCCCGTTCAAGAGGAGAAAGGACAAAGCTGGGCTACGCAAGCATCAACTAACGGGGACTTCGGCCTCTGCGTCCTTGTCCGAAATCTCGTCCTGGATTTCGTCTGTGTTCCCTGAGTCGCTGCTGGCCACAGAGCTGATAGAGGGAGAGTTCCTGCCACCTTTTATCATCCGTCGACATGTCTCCATCTGCACGTCCAGACCTCGCTTCATGCTGCACATCTCCATGTACTCGTGCAGATGTCTGTTCATGTCGCTCTTTGCTGTGGCCAACTCCATCTGGGAGAAGGGAAAGAGTGTAAGATGTACGAGACAGTGAAGATGATGTACGCCCAGCTAATATCTTAAAATAGTTTATGTCAGTGTTGAATTGCTTCAACCGGTTTAACAAAATTGTTCTTACTAAAAGGGATCAAATGTTTCAACATTTACCACAAAACAAAAAACCTTTTCAGCAGATTGCACAATTAATTTTGGCAAACATCTCCTTAATTTTTTAATGACCTGCCAATATTTAATATGATACTCACACTGTCAGAATTGTAAAACTTCTAATGACACAGAAAAACACGATTTCTTAGTAATGTTCTTCCTGCTCATATTCAGATGATTTAAATAAAAAACGGAAGTTTAGTCTTGACAAAGCATCCATTTAGTAAATAAAATCTTCATACACTGTCTCTATAATACCATTTAATGCGTAAAGTGATGTGCATGAGTACAATAGGTCAAATCTTAGTTTTCAATTAAACCCCAATTAGCTGTATTCAACAGCTCAGCTATTCTTCCTAGGGTCCACATTAAAAACATAATTAATAGGATTATAAAAATGTCCATTTAAAACATAATTAAGCACTATAGTCCATGCAAACCATCACATAATCAATCTGCAAATTGAATTTTAAAAATCGGCAGAAAATATGTTCTATAATAGGTGTTTTCGGACCAAGCGGTTCTGGGGACTTTCTGAAGAGGAACTACACACACCACGGGGGACTTTTTCTCCGTCTGCATTTGCATCGCCATGGTAACTACTCTGAAGCAGGAGCTAAAAAGGTTCCTCTAAATGGGGTTCTAGAACTAAGATAGTTCATAGTTCCTGTGGTGCGGAATCACAAAAACAGTTCCTAGAGCTATGAAAAAGTTCCAGCGCTCCAAAAGCCACCAATGGTAAACAATATTGTTTTGTATCTATTTCACTGTTTAAGAATTCAATTCCGTCCAGCCACGAGCATTTGTCCATTAAGTTCTGCATTGTCATTGTAGATAATAAACGTAGAATTCTGTCTGCTCTGAGAGCATTTTATTTTGCCACTCCTCTAGAGTAACAACAACAAATACAATAACCCTGCTGAAACTCAGTATGTTACATGGGTTTGGCTAATGCTATCAATGTGTATGAATAATTAAGTGTGTGTGCCAGTCTTTTTATCATACACATATCCACACACAGATTGTGTACCTCGATCTGTCCGATGGTCTCCTGGTACTCTTGGTCTCTGGTCTTAAATAGTGACTCTGTTTCATCAATGAGGCTGCCAAGACTTCCTTCCTGGGAATCCTTAGAGAGCACAGACAGAGGATTCATTCATCATGCATGAGTCAGTGTTTGACACAGCACACATAGCAATGATCCACACGCATGAGGTTCAAAAACAGTAAGCAGAGCAGAGGACCCTCACTCCCGGACTTACTGGATCAGCTGCCTCTGCGTTGCTGTCACAGGGGGCGGTGCTCGTGCATGACGTCGCAGCGTTGGCGTACGGCATGTTGTAGTTGGTAAAGTCCTCCCACAGCAACAGAGTCTCCTCGTTTTCCTCCCACGTCAGACTGTCGCAGTCGTCGTCGATATCGAACGTCTCGCGCCTGGCAACAAAGGAGTTATCTGAACAATGTCTGTGTAGGACAAGGACAGGGAATGGAAAGAAGAGGAGAGGAGGAAGGACAAGTATAACAGCCACCAGGTTCAGCAGAGGTCACAAGCAAGGAGGAAGATGCGCTCACAACAAACAGACCAATGGGAAAGAGTTCATGGAAAACAGAAGCGAGGATACTTAAACACCACATGCAGAAAACTTTCTTTAGAACATATGTTTAGAATAAATGATTAGAAAAAGCAATCCCAAATATTGTTGAGATTAAAAATCATTGGGAAGCATCCAAAAAACAACTACTGCAACTTTAACAAAGCAAATTATCATCCCAGTATAAATAGATGCTGAGTTTTGCTGAATCAGCACACTGTAAAGTAGCTGCAATACATCATATAAACACTAGAGGGAGATGAGGGACTATACAGCTGTTACACCAAACCAACACTGCAGGGAACAGAACAGGAAAGGCAAAGTGTAACTGCAGAGTACGTTGAGATACACCCAAATCTGTGTGTGTGTGTGTGTGTGCGTGCGTGCGTGCGTGCGTGCGTGCGTGCATGTGTGTCTGTGTGTGCGTTGCTTACAGCTGGTTGAGCATGCGTTTCATTTCGTCCGTGATGTTGAGTGATGCAGGGACCTCCTCCTCTGTGGAGCTGGGCTCTGCATCCATCTCTGAACACTCCTCATCAGACACAGCCTTACGCTCTTTCCTCCTACAGCTCGCTCCAGCACCCTGCAAACACACACACACACACACAAGTTTAAACACACGTTTAGAAGACCAATCAAAGGCAAACCCAGTCGCAAATGATGAAAGGTGAATCTGACATTAAACATCTGAATATTTTCTTTTGTATTATATGTATATGCACTGTTAATGTTTACAGAATGTATCCATTCAAACACATATACTCAGTGATACTCAACCCGAGGCTCTCGAGCCAGCTGTGGCTCATTTGGGACTAGTTGTGGGTTTTTAGGTCCTACTTGGGGAAAAAAAAATCCAAAGTAATTACTTAAAAAAGGGAAACATTGTCAGCAGAAATTATTCTTACATATTTTAGGAAAGAAAAGTTTTTGGATTGTGGCTCCTGCAGAAATATTTTTTGTTCAATGTGGCTCTTAAGTCTAACAAGGCTGAGTACCACTGCTTTGTTTGATGGTTTCTTTCAAACTCAGCTTGCACAAAATGAGAAAAATATGCGACATTGAACATTGTTCAATACTGCGATAGCAATATGAAGTGTGATTAATAAAAAGTCGAGTAAATAGTTGTATTAGCTTTAAAACACATTTTTTATGTCTAGCGACTGTTTTCAATGTTTGACACAATACCTGTGTTTGCAGCATGTTTCTCCTGAACTTCAATAAATCCTAAAAGCAATTTTTTCATGACATCTGAACAGTGTGAAAGCAGGGCCTTTATAGCAGAGTTCAACCAATATTTAAAATGTATTCATGTTGAGTGAGAAAGAATTGCTTTTTTCTTAATTACTGCGATAAATTCAGACATCTGTGTTTTTTGCGATCCTCTTAACACTAGAACAATGAAACTGCTAGTAATTCGGCAGCTCTGTTTTTAACCCACTGAGCTTTTTTTCCTTAAGGTGTGGAGGAGCATTTCTACTTTCTACACTCTGCCTGCTTCATAAAGTCTAAAGATAAAACACTTATTTGTGTGGAACCTCCCTTTTAGATTCTGTAAATACAAAAATGACGATTGGAAGCAGGGACAGACTGTAAAACAACATATAAACAAGGAGAAGCCACCAGCTTCATCCAGTGACTCTATTCTTGGTCTTAAGCCAGCACTGTCGACGCAATGTGATAACCTTGAGTGCAGCGAAGAGTGACCAGGTCAGTATTCCATGCTCCTGAATGTTTGTATGTGCATGCATATGTAATTCTGCCTGTATATGTTTATATGTTTGTGCGTGTATTTTGAGAATCTCAGGCATGCATTCCTGCTCCTTCAGAAGGGTCACTCGGTACATGATCTGCTGGAGAGAGAGACACTACACACACAGCCAGCCACAGCAGCTCTGGTTACATCCACAGAGTGCTGACTGGCACATTCACAGAAGAATTCATATTTTCGCTGCTGTAACTCGACAAACAGTGAGACAGCAGATGAAACCCACCCTCTCCGGCAGCGACCTGGCTGGACTGACGTTGAACATCTTGGACATGTCCTCTGAGTTGCGTTGCTGTGCCACGTCACACAGTTTGGCCGTGATGTCGATCCGTCTGCAGATGTCCATGTCCACCCGCCGGGCCTTCTCCTGGATCTGTGTGTCCAGGTCTGACATTTGCTGCTTGGGTAAGGATGTATGGTGTTATTACCATGTGTAATAGAGACACCTTCTTACACTGTACACTGTACACCGTACTCACACATACACACACAGAACATGAATTCCCTGTTCAAGTACTGAACCGAGTTAAGAGTGCTAGTTTTCTCAAAGAGCAGCTCATTTAAGGCTGTCAGTATGATACTGACATCCATCAATCATAGATTAAAGGTCATATTACATACATTCAGTGCATCAAGTTCATAGGAAATAGGAGGGAAGTCAGATTTATAGATCTCCTTGCTTCTCTGTTGAAATACAATACATTTTAATCTAAGCCTCTCAATGTTTACCTGTCATATCATTTAGAATATTTCTTCTTGACAGATGTTGCATTATTGGGTTACTTTATTCATAACTTTAAAAGGAATTCTTGTTCCTATTTTGTCTTAAATATAATGTTGTTTTTTTGCTCCCCTTTTGGCCATGTGATACTTTTATCGTCACATTGCGCAAAACAGTCCAGCTAGTTGTCCAGATATAAAGTCAGCGTGAGGAATTCAACGTCTAGCATCTGAATGTGTACTTGATATAATATTTTAATTATTGTCACTACTGTATCAAAATGCTAATTATGTCATTGTATACAATGCAATGTTACGGCATTCATATGAGCAACTCCGTAGATAACATGTTTCTATTTATCAGGTTTATGTTTTTATTTATCTTTAATTCACTCACTGTATTTAGTGTTTTTTGTTCATCTTAATTTTGATTAAATGCATAGTTTAAACTAAATAACTATCAAAAAACATTTACCCATATAGAGAACTCAATCAAGTAGTAGCATAATCCCTTCGTTCATTTGGGTAATAATAGTGTGTTGGGATACAATTTGTTAGGGCAGATATTGGTCATGGAAAACTGAAACATTTATATATGTTCTTCCTGCTACAGTGAATGTTGAATTAAGAGCAACTACAATAGGATCACAACCAGAACAGACATTACAAAATACAGGATGTCCAACCAACTAAAACAAACCTAGTATTTAACAAGCTGGGCCTCACAAGAGATCCAATAGTTCTACGTCACTCACCCGTCTCTGGAGTCACACGTGAGGGATGAAGTCAAGCACAGAAAATAATATAAGAAATGTGCAGATGCCAGAAGTGAAGATATGCAGGAAAAACAAAAAAGTAGACCAAAACAAACAACAACATACGCCTATATATATCCCTGAGCAAGCACAAGCTGTGACTGAGCCCCCTGCAGTATATTACAGCTGTATATCACACTAGAACAGGCCTGCCAGGGAACAATACAGGACTGTTCAGAACAGGAAGTGCTCCTGATCTACAGCCTTTTTCAATGAATAATTGTCTTGAAGGATTTGCAGCATTATATTATATATATTTTTGACTCCAGAAATGTAAGGAAGGAAGACTAAGGATGGGGTTACTGCACATTTTATCATATAGAGCTGTATGAATGAGCTTTTATCAGAGCGATGCAGGAAAACAATTGTTCATTCTTCAAACACGACAGCTGGAAAGCTTGTTGGATTGCTTTAAGAATGGGAGTTAACACAGCACTTTTCTACAGTGTTAGAGCTTTGTCAGACTCAGGGAAGTGATGGTGACGTCAACCCAAGCTCAAACAAATACTTACATCACTCATTAGACTCTTAAAGACCACAAGCTCAGCCTTTAGTCGGTCCACCTTCTCGCTCAGCTCGTCCCGGACCTCGGATGACTCCTGGGCACTCTGAGGGAATTACAATAATACACATTAACATTCAACAAAGATTCTACTACGGCTATCATATTTAAGCTAATTACAATAAACTCTGCTTTCTGACGATTGCATGGATTTGTAGAATAAGATTCAACAACCACTTGTAAGAACCAGTTATAAACACTTTCGGGTAGATAAAAGGCTGACTCATGTTGCATTCAAATAAGGCGCCTTCTGATCAAATAAACCATTATTGTGTAACTTTTTTTATATTGTTAACTGTTCAGCTTTTTATGACTAGTACCAAGAGATTAAAGCTTTTTCCTTAACACATTTTTACAACTAAGATGATGCAAATGTGTACCTTGAGCAAGAGCTGTAGCCCTATTAGGGACTTTAGTAGCTTGTATGTGAATTAAATCACATTGAAGAATGCTAAAAATTACTTGTTGGACTTCGTCTTTACTGATTAATATGTTTGAACTTGACAAGACTAATAAAAAATATTGATACAACATTCATGCCTGCAAGTATATGAGCTACAGTTGACAGAATTTAGTTAAGCTAGAGATGAGATTTGCACGAGGAAGTAGCTCGCTTGGCTGTGTCCAAACTGAGGTTAAATATTCACCCTTCAGCATCAGGAAAGCTCACTTACTAAATATGATTTTTTTTTGTTGAATATACAGTAGTTGCCATGAATAGAAGATTGATACAAAATTCACTTCTACATAGTACATACAAACTGGATTTGGCAGGAGTTAGCAGTATTGGAAAAAAGAAAGCAGCTAGCTAGGCTATATCCAATGATAAAATATTGATGCTTTAGCACCTGCTCACAAATGAAAACGTATCTTTTTTTTGTTTAAAATGGTTCCAAAGACAAGAAGATTGATACCGCACAGATAATACGAGCTACACTCAGCAGGCAGTAACCAAGTTTAGCTAAGTAAAAAGAAAGGATGCTGCTGTTTTCAAAACACGAGTGCATGTTTTTTGTTCTGTATTAAATCAGCAGAGGGTAACAGCCGTTATGCTCTAAGCCCGCAACAATAAATGGCTGTTTGTGCAGAATTTACAATCTTTAGAAAGATTTCCAGCTCTTTCACACACAGCGACCGACATTTGCCTGTGTGCTCTAAAAGGTTAAAGCCCCCGAGGGACTGCACTCCACCTCTCTATCTGGGGTTTTGCTGACCCAGAATCTAAGACAAACACACGTACAGACAGTGATCAATTTGTGCAAAAGCAGAGGTGAGGAAGGATGCCGTCTGGATAAGGAAACTCATAGCATCTGGGGTAGTGCATGTTGTTGTGAATAGCCTCTAGGTGTGACACTTTAAATTGATTCAGCCTAAATCTATTACCTGAATAGAAACATAATGGCAGCCTGCTGGTGATATGTGATGTTTGTATCTATTTTCAGGCTAGCAGACACTTCCTGATGGGTTTGTAATATGGTTTTCTAATAGGACACACATCCTGCTGGCTAAGCTGCCTCTGTTTGAGCTTTGCTGAGTCCATAAAATGTCACAAGGAAGTCAGCTACCGGAATACATACATGTTTAGGCAATGTGCTGTATTAGAAGTTATCAAAATATATGTGCACACATGTTTTTGCCTCAGATGTTATTTGTGCTTCTTGTCTGCATGTGGTAAATGACCCTTGGCAACAATTCAAATAAGCATGAGCATGTTTATAGAATATATATTTTTAATGTTTCCAGACCTGCTGCAGGGACTCCACCGTGGACTCCATCTGCTCTCGTTTGGACACTTCCTCCTCCCATCTGCAACACAGAGCACAGAGGTGGGTCACTTACTGTTAAATCTGGTCTCCTTTGGGCCACCAAGCAGGTTTATCAGACTTTTGTGGGGATAATACCCCCATCTCTTATTTCAAAATGCCCTTGACAGTGCGGCTTTCCAGCCACTTTTCCCCCTCCTATTGTTCAGTCTTTTGTCTCCTTTCTTTTGTATGCGGAGGCATTTTATCTTTACAACCCCACTGCCCCAATAAAAAACTATAGAGAGGATGGAGTCCCATCATTCTCCAAGCACAGCAAACATTACTCATGAATTGCCTTTGAGTGACTGCAGAGGGACATTTGAGCTCTAACACACCCAGAAGGGTGGGGTACCTCTTCACTGCAGTCTGAATTCCTTCATGCGAACTACTTCATTCCTCATGAAGTCTCAGGAGGAGTGAGGAATCTGTTTACAAAATTCACTGGCAAAATGTTTTTATGATAACGACAGAAAAGAAACCTAAAAAGGACGACCTTAACCCGTATTACTGCTGCCAACATATTTGCAAAGCTATTGAAATTCAAACAATAAAAAAAAAAGATTGATTAAATTATTTATCACCTATTGTATGTCAGTTGGGCTTTAAGGCACATTAAAACCTGCTCAAAATTACAACTTAGTTTACAGACATGCTACCAGATGTGTAGTGCTGTACTCTATGCACAGCGGAGCTAGCTAACATGCTCACAGTGCTAAAAAAACAACAACAACTGGTGCCGTATAATGTTTTCGTCAAAGTTTTTGTTAAAGATTTTAGTTTAGAGTATTAGTAATCTCCAAGGAGCAGCTCATATAAGTTATTAGTAGTTCAGGTGTTTAAGTAATACACAAAAGTATGCTACAAATTGGAAAAAGTAACTTTAATTTTTAACTACATGAAAAGTCAAAGTATCACAAAAGGCTTACAATTCATTTAGTTGCAGATATGAATGTAGCTACTCAATGCCATTGTAATACATGTCATTTCAATAGTTGATTTATTTCAGTCTGGACTGTACTATTTAACAGCTAATGACTTAGTCAGAAAAACTAGCATGGCTAGTGGTGCTAGCATGGCTAATAATAGGATACCATACTCCCCTTCCATTGTCTGAAAGCTATGATTAGCAACTCATTTCTCCTGATATATCATTCATCTGAATAGCCTCCTTTTTGCCTTGCAGTATGAACTGAACACGAGGCACATAACCATCAGTCTGTACTGCATCAGTTAGCTTTGCATGCTCCTAATATAATATACACTTATCTTGTTCCCTGAGATATGAGACAGCAGACATGCTGAGTCACGGATGCTTTCAGAAAGAGAGTTTGAGGATCAGAATGAATAAAGAGCTCATTCAGTAAAATGAAGTAACCACACAGCACCAGACACTCATGCTGATGAGCCTCTGTGGGCCACATGGTAGACAGTGAAGGAGAATTTGAGAGTGGCTTTTCTGTGTGTGTGAGTGAGTGAGACGACAAGACAGTGGAAAGATTTGTGTGACTGCTGTCTTACTATAAACATTAACTAGAAGTGTGAAAGCTGCCATCTGACTGCCACTGTTTATTCTGTTACTTTGCTGCATGTAAAGCCTTCTCTTACAAAAGAGAAATGTAAACACAGCGAGAAGTATTACAACATGCGTCACAAGACATTGACTTTGTCAGGCTTTCGCTTTCTTGTTCCCATTCAGGTCCCGCTGAATACACACTGTCTAATTAGAGAGAAGTATTCCTTGGCTGGGCGTGCCAGCTTGCTCTGTTATTGAGGCCTTGTTTTCTTAAAAAAAAAAAAAAAATGGCACCGCTGCGCCACTGTGTCTACAACACTCGGGCCGTCTGCCGCAGGACACTAGCTGAGCTCACAAGAGTTCACAACTGCATCACATCCTCTGCAGAACACAAATCTGTGTGTCACAGCATCTGCATCACTTGTGTTGTCACTTCCTGGAGAAACCACCTCTTGTCCCTTTCTTTAAAACGGTTGTTGATAACTGGAGAACATGATTAGATTGGCCTACTGATTGAGGCAGAGACCATCTGTGTCGACAATGTGTCAGGACTGCTTATATCAACCATCAAAGGTAATGGAGTCATTGACAAGTCTTAGCAGCAGCTGCTTGCAACAATATTTTAGAGCAGTTACAATCTATAAAGGCTCATAATTGATAACCGGCACACCTAGATGAAAAATTCTTACCCAAACAAATATAACACTACTGCAAATTAAACAGATTCATTTGGCATCTCAGCCTTAACTGTGGTTCATATTTTCCTGTACCTGTGGTGTGACTGAGTCAGACGAACACACCCGGAGTCTCCTTACAAGGACAAAGACAGCAGGAGGGTTGGAGCCTGTGTAAGCTCATAGACATCTGTTTACACCCTCAAAAAATCTCAGCTATCTAGCTCGAATAAATCACAAACTGTATGGTGCTACAGATGTGTTAGTCCAGCCAAGGCAAACGGAAATCACTGCAATAAACTACTGGGTGGGTTATTTTGTTTTGTGTGGCTTCCTGTGTAGCTAGCATTAGCTATATAAGATTTCTGGTCAATACTTCCTTTTCCATGCGTTGCCATTGTTTACTGTCTTACAAGCAGCTTAAGAAGCAAGAATGGAATTGGAGTCTATCTTTTTTGAAGACATTGAGACAGTCATTCTTGTGAAATGACTGTCAATGGGATCCAGAGTTTTGGTGGAAACCAGAAAACTTCCAATACCAAATTCTGGTCCCATGCCTAGAGATTCTGCATCTTTGTAGAAAATCGTTGCAGAATCTGTATTTTCATGCAGAACCTATAACTAGACATGATAGTCCTCTGGAGTAGATTCATTTATATCTAATAAATGACAGGAAACTTGAAATAACAATGGCTGCATAATATTTAAAACAATCAGGATACTGCAGATCAAAACTGATGGAGAAAACCTAGAGTCTCACATCAAACAGACATTTTCTCTTACAATCTTCCTCTGTTGAACAATAGCATTCCTCTAGCGCCTGCCAGCTAACACTCCCTGCCTTGTGTGGTATGTCTGGGAGTTATGCTTGCACGCAGGCTGCTTTATGATTTCCCATCACTGTGCCGGGGGACACAGCGTGCACACATCCACATGTGATGAACTTGTGTTCTTGTGTTGATACTTTTTGATGACTTTTTGTGCATGTGTTGACAGCTTTATGGCAGCCATAATGATTTAGTGGAAGTTTGATTTATCTCTGCCAGAATTAAAAAAAATATATAATTACTAAAGATTATATCTTGGAGGTGATTATGAAATTATGATTTTATTTTTTTGAATGATTAAATGCTTTATGGTTGTGAGCATTATAGTGCTAGGCAACAGGCGGTAAATACCAAAGGAGCACAGGGAAAACTCTGAGGTGTGGTTGCGTATAAGTCCTCTGTTGCTCATAGCAAATAAAAGTTTGAATCAGACAACACCCTGTTTAAACTATACTTCTGGAGAGTGTTACATATTACTGATAGGAATTTTCTCTGTAACCAGACGATCTGATTACAAGCTCAAACACTGATCCTAGGTCTTAGAAGCAGATTACACATCCTCTCTTTAATTAAATTGTTCCATTCAATTTTCACTTTCGACTTCTTACTTGTCCTCAAAAAGTTTGGTACAAAAAGTTTCTGGTATAAAAATCTAGTAGTGGTGCTTTGTCATCAAATATACCAGTAAGATAAGTTTAAATGAGCACATCTGTGTATAACACTTTTTATAAATCAACAAGATCAGAAAATACCCACTACAGAACCACCATAAAAACAATCACCTTCATATAATTATCTTATAATAATATTTACTGAGGGGATTATTTTATAGACTGTGTTAATTTAGTAACTTGGTTTACCCAACAATCCAGCCAGTGTTTCTATTCTGAATATCGTTGTACTTTTCTAAATCCAAATAATCATACATAATAAATTAAAAACATAACAATTGAATAAAAATAATGTCCAATTTGAACACTAAAAAGAAAAGAAGATTTGGGGATTTTTTTTAAATTGAAAGGGTCACAGGTAATTTTATGACTTTGATATTAATCAATTTAATTCAATCTACTTCATAGGCATGAACGCAATAGATACTACATTTTAAAAAAAAGTTACTTTTGTTTATGAAAGACTTCTCACTTGTTGTAGAACGTGAATGTGAGTGTCTTTATGTGTGTGTTTTGTGCTAAAAAAACGGAAGCATTGATGGGTAACAGAAGGCAACAAATACAGTCTATGTTCAGCATACAATATCTCTGTAGTGATAACAAAATAACAATAAATAATACTGAAATTACACAAAATAAAAAATATGATGTCATTCTTACCCTAATGCTAAGGACACCCACATCTGATGAGTTGAATTATATCAATAATAATATACTGACCTGCTAGAAGAGCCATCGTTTAGGCTTGAGAAATATATCATGTCTCTTTTCTAAACCAAACCTCTCAGTCTAAACACTATAGAGAGATTTTAATAGGGCCATTAAAATTCATTCTCATGAGTGCCTGCAATAGTAAAACAGGAAGTGTTATATGATAACAGATTCAAGGATCAATACATCTGGCTACATGCAGGACAAACACCCATTCGGCTCACTGCTGTATGAAATGAGGCCACTGACAGCTTTGATAAATCCCTTGTGTCCAGAGCACACATGATTCCTCCCATAGACCCCTATAGGTGTCTATAATGTCTTCTACATGACAGCATGCGATCATACAGTGCACAAGTCAGGGATGTGATTTACTTTCAGAACATTCTTGAAATAATATTGCCTGGATAGGAGGAGCAGGATGGGAAGAAGCATATGGGATATGGATGGAGAAATGTGGGCAATGTACAGATTACTAAGACAAGAAAAAGGGGAAGTTTGACTATAGTAGGTCATCGATTGAGTGTCATGATGCTCTGTAATCAATAGCTGCTCCAGACTCCACAGAGACACATGTGTAGCGTGCTAATGAGTCAGCCATGGGT